TCCACAGGCCAGGCGCAAACACCACATGTTTGAACCAGTGGCGCCCATCAAGTCCGGGTTCGTACAAGAATGCCCGTTCAAGGGCTTTGTATTTGTCGTTAACCACACGGATCTGGAAGTAGAGCCTCACCTTCTTCCACCACAGGTACCAGGGGAGATTTTCATCCAACTGGGAGGCCAGGTCAGCGGCATAGGCGTCAAATTTCTTAGCCGTAGCCTGGAACTCGGCGACTGCTCTGTCCAGAGACCCAAAGTCGAACTCGCCGCCAGGCAATTTCTTTGCACCGGGCTTGATCTTCTCCAAATATTGACCGAGACCAGCACTATAGTCAGACGCACTAAATGACAGGACAGGGGCCTCGACCAGCTTGGCAGCAGCCAGAGACCAGAGCTTAGTGCAGGCTTCATGATAGAGCCAACCAGGATCCCCAAATCGATCCATCCAGTCGAAGCTGTCATAGTTGGAGTGGTAGTGGTATACGGGGTCCTTGGGGCCACGGCCGAAGCCCAGGTCAAGGCTGGCCACGCCCGCAAAGTCCTGGAAAGCAGTGAAGTCACTACCGCTACCCATGGTTGCAATGTGGCCATCCCAGACATCGCGAACTGTTTGGCCTTCAATGGTCTGGTTGGGAGACTGGACAAGGCTAGTAACCTCATAGATCAAACTGTTCAGGAGTGGGGCCGCCCGAGGACCAAGGACAGTTCCAGCGGCAGCCACATCAACATTGAGATAGGCAATATTGGCTTTGGAAAGCCAAGGAAGCTTGTCTTCCACCCATTCTGTTGACCCTAGCAGTCCATACTCTTCTCCGTCCCAGCTGGCAAAGACGATTGTGCGCAATGGCTTCCACCCTGCCTTAAGAGCTTCACCAAAGCTGCGAATAACTTCATTGAGGACAGCGGAGCCACTGTTCGGGTCTCCAGCACCACCGGCGATCCAAGCATCCCGGTGGTTACCCAGAATGACCACCTCGTCAGGGATAGCACCCTTGATAGTGCCAATGACATTCCACAGAGGGGTAGTTACGTATTCTTGTTGATTGTCCAAGTTGATTACGACATCATCTGGTGAGGGGCCAATGTTATATTCAACGCCCTTGCTGCCAAGTTTTCCACCTTGCCAACCCTTAGGGAAGTCCGCTGCTTTGGGACCATGTCCATTGAGAGCCTTCAAGAAAGGTATGGCCTCTTTGTAGGAGATTGGAATCGAAGGAATGGATGGGATTGCATCACTAGGGTCTTTACGGTCACATCCGGGCTTGGATGGCCAACCAGGTGTAGTAGGGTCGCCGGGTGCAAAGCCTAAGTCACCCAAATAGTTAATCAACTAACGACCAGTTCTCGATTTAGCATATGAGCGCTGAAAGGACTTACTCAGGAATTGGGTGCTACCTCGTTGCACAGCACTAGGATTCCGGGCCGGACCCTCGGGGTACGGCTTGTATCCGTTCTCCTCTGTAACCTCACCATCGTCTTCCGGATCGTCATACAAGATCACACCCACCATACCCAGCTCCTGTGCGCGCTTCACCTTCAGCCCACGGAAGATGTGACCATACTTGGCGATCGCAATCTTGCCAGCAAGACTGACGTTGGCATCAACCAAATCTTGGTAATCCTGATAAGAGCCGTAATTAACGTATACAAATGGAGCAGTGACATTTCCAGTTGCCGAATAGCCATGGAAAGTAGGCACGCGATCAGGAAGACCACTGGTGCCATCCTCTTCTAGGACGTCTTCCTCTAGGGTAGCCTCGAACGTAACTTCGGTCTTGTCCTTAGACGTCTTTAGCAGAGCCAGGCGGTGATCCAGAGGGTAGTTGATGTAGACATCGTAGGCCACGATGTCGGTGTCCTGGATGCCAAACTCTTGCCAGCGCTCCTGGGTCCAGATCGCCTGGCTCAGGTTCTTGCCGGCGAGATGAGGCCCCGCCGTATAGTAGCTGCTCCATTCCCGCGCTTTTTCCGCGGATGGGGTCGTTTGAAGAATTGTCTGCAGCTCTTCATATGTGAGACCGTGGCCCTGGGGCCAGGCTTTATGGGGGAACGGGCGCGCCCCGGGGAAATAAGACCAGATGGAGCCATGCTCCCGTGGGAAGATGGCTGAGGGAAGGAGAAACAAGAACAGAGAAATCACGAGTAGTGTTCCGAGAGTGAAGCTACAGAACTGTCGTAGCTTGTGGTGGGGGTACCGGTGCCGCTGGGGAGCGACGTTGACCACCTGCAGAAGAGGCGTGGATTCGGAGGGCGCCATGGTATGTGGCATGGACTTCTCCCTCATCTCAGGGGGCATGGTTTCAACTAAGTGAATTGAGGAAATCGGAGGGAATAGCGGTCAGACATGGAACAGACGATCGCTCGCATTGATCAATCTGAGTGGTTAAGTGACAGCTCTCCTATGCGGGATTGGAGAAAAAGGACGAGGGTTTGAGGGCGGCGTCTGGAGTGGCTTTTTATCTAATCGGAGTCCCTACGTAATGGACAGTCATTGGGTCTCTTTATCGGTCCCGTGCGGAGTCCGGGAGCAAAAGCGGAGCTCAAAGCTTATCTATCATCTTTCAGTACTTTTATGTACCGTATTTGCCGAATACCCGTTTGACAGTTTACAAACCCATACTACTCCATGCTGTAGAAAACCTACATCGGCTACTATACAAGCGACGACCCGGTCGCTTTTTCAGTTGCATTGGCTACTCTTGTAAAGATCAAGTCCGTACATTGAAACCCATGGATCGCACGCCATCCGTTGCATATATGAGGCAATCTTCCATCATCAACACCATCGAAAGCACAAAAAACAAACACAAACACAAACACAAGTGGTATCACGTGCCACGCTATTCTTATATACAATCAAGACCAGACACATAGTATGCGAGGGGAAAGTCAACAAGGAAAGAAAGACATAAAGAAGAACACAAGACTACAGTTACGCATCAACTGAACGCCCCACAAGCTCTTCGGGAATCGGAACTTTGTCGTTCAATGCGAAGTTTAGCTTTTCACCAAGATCGATGCTGTTGCGCAAGATCTGCCGAGCGGCTTCGTCGCTGACCCCCATGTCTTCCTTGACCAGCCGGACCGCCAATTCAGGTACGAGCACAGCTTGTGCGTAACCCACAACGCCAGCTGACTTCACAATGTGGTCGCTGGCCGCTAGGCGGCGTAGCTTACGCGAGAAACGTGTGGTCAAAGCTTGTAACCTGTCCAACCCATGCATTAGTATCGGATATATCACAATTGGCGGGTATCAGAAGAATGTCTTACATTTTACCAGAGCCTCGAGTACCGTAATAACCGCAAGAGATCGTCTCCAAACCATCTCCCTCCAGTGTCAGCCGGAAGTTCTTGGCTTTTCCGGCCTTTAAAGTCGAATCCAGGATATTTCGGTAATAAGACTGGCTATCTGGAACCAATAGGCTCTCCAAGTCGTCAAAATAGTTATGGATCCGATCGTCGAACGTATCCCAATCGATAGCTGGGTAGCCCTTATCATGCCACTCTTTCTCGGCCGCGGTCTTCTTATGAGAATCGCAGAACCGTTGCTGTTCTCGGATGCGCTGTTTCGGCTGTGACTGAAACCGTAACAAGAGTTCTGGGTCCACAGGTTCTTTACACCAGGGACACAGAGACTCCTTCGGCTTCGGCGCATCACCTGCCTCATCTAGTAGTATGTCCTGTAGACCGGTCTCAGATAACTCGCTAAGCGGAGAGCTGAGGGGCGAAGCATCGTCATCATCCGTGTCAAAGATAGCAGGTTCTCGAGCGGAGGAGGGTGCAAAAGAGGAGCTAGAGACAATATCATTCGGAAGAGGGGGAGGGGCCTTAAACTCCGGAGATGAGCGCGATTTAGATGGCGGACTTTTGATATCAATATCCTTGGGGACCTTGAATCCATCATCCTTCCGGGATCCCGTATCCACGTTCTTTGTTTTCCTCCCAGCATTCGGCGAATTCCCAGCCGACTTTGGCTTCGGTCGACTGGAAGGAGGCGAATCCATTTGTAAAGGCGTGCTCGACTTTCTGGGATAGACCGTCGAGTTGCGCTTCTTCATAGATCCATAGTCGGCCTTGTGCTTCTTTACACCTTGTGAAGACCACCCACACTCTGAAAAAGGATCGCCATTGTCATTGTCCTCGTTGACAGTAACTGCATCTTTCAACGTCCGCTTACGACTCGAGCGTTGAGCTCTCGGACTGTCAATTCCTCTCTTCGATCGCGGAGTTCGTGATGGTGTGCCATTTTCTCTCGAAGTCTCAGCTAGTTTCTCCTCCAAAGTTGGCCCTGAGCGACGAGGCGTGCGCTCATTCTCGAGATCGTCATCTAACCCGGCATTGCTCTGAGTTTCTTCTTCGCTGGAGCTCACCGGTTCATCGTCCGTGGCCGGTTCGGGCTTAGTAACAGGCTCAGGAGCTTCTTTGTCCTTGAAAGTCGAAAGAAGATGTTGCCCGTGGTAATTTTGCCTTGTCAGGCGGTTCGAGGCGTAGCTCGAATCGGGCTTCGGCCGAGGGGTGACCATAGTGGCTCGGGTCGGGGAGTGGTTTGGAACGTGCGGCGTGTTCCGGGGCGATTGCGCATTTGTTTAAATAAGGAAATACTGTATAGGAATTGTTTTATGAATGAGCGGGAACAAAAGTCAAGGCAATCGCTCGAGGAAATTGGGGGGTGGCAGGAAGAAGAAGAGGAGAAACGCGTGTGGTGGTGACACGCTATCGGTAACTCCGCATTAAAATCAATTGAATTGCTAAGAATCAAATGTAAGGCGCAGCTGATCCTTGGCTTCGACTATTGAAGAAGATTTGACAGTCATTGATGGTTCATTTAATTTAGCTTCATCGATCTTTTATTCAGTAGTCATATAGGAAAAAGAAGAATAATAATCTATGTAGCAAATGCAGCTAAGGGGTGTTCGACAATAATCTGGGCCGCGTCGCAAGACTCGGAACATCGTAATGGCTTGCAATCCTGACAAGAAATGAAGAAGCGCTCAAAAAAAAAAAAAAAAAAAAAAAGGAAGAAGAAGAAGAAGAAAAGAAAAAGTTAAGGGATAGGAAAGGGCTTATGAATTAATCACGATGCTGCATCGTGCCCTTGATTGAACAATATGCAAGAACAAAAAGATATGCACTCCCGACCAAAACTCAACCAACAAATATGAAACCTTAGGTCTCCAATGCAGAATACGGTCAACGATTCGCACCTTCTATGAAAGTTAATGATGAAAGTGTGAGGAAGTAAAAGAAAACATTGGGAAAACAGAGGATGAGAAAGAGAAGAAGTCGAAGATAGGGAAAGGCAAGATACAACAAAAGGCAAGCCAACATAAGACGAATGAAGAATTATTCGTACTTCACTGAGAATCAGACAACAAATAGCGTATAACTAAGCTTGGCAAACGCGTCTTCGTTCTAATCTTTATAGTCGTGGAACCACATCACTCAAAGCTCATATGAATCTCACCTTCTTCCCCGTTCCCGATGTCGTGATCAGCCCAAGCATTGGGCTCAAGAGCCAATGCACCGAGTGCACTCGCACCGACGCCAGCAGCAGCGCCAATACCAAGACCAGCTGGCGTCGTCAATGATGATCGCAGCTCTGGCCGTGTAGAATTGGCATCGTACGAAGTAGCAGTTGTAGGCTCATAAAATGAATTTGAACGCTGTGGTGGCTCATGATAAGAGGTATCGAAAGTCATTTCTATCTCTTCTTCTTTATGGGTAGAAGGCTGCTGATCATGGGAAGTGCTGGGCACGGAGTAAGGCTCAGGCGGCGACTGGGGCGCGGACTTGGTGAGCTTGGCAGCCTTAGTAGTATCTTTGCTATCTGACGGAGTCGGCGTAACTGGGGCTGAGTTGGACGGGGAATTCAAATCAAGCTTCATAGGAGGCAAGGTCGACTCGAGTTGTTTGACTTCAATACTTTCGGATGCGAGTTCGGCTCTGATCGCATCGATATCAAATAACACGCTGCCGGTTCCGTTGCTGTCGCTCGAGTCTCGCGGCGTGGCATTGTTCCGCTCCACGTCGTATGTTTCCCAGCCTTTCTTTTGAGCCAACTTTCCTCGTTTGAACAAGCCAAATCGTTTCTTTTCTGGTTTTGCCTCGGCTTCTCGTCGAGCCTCGTCGATCTCGCGGATAAGCTCTCTTTGTCGCTCGGCGTGGTTCTCTGGATCGGGGTCCTCGAGCTCTACAAACTCGTCACCTAAAACTTCCCACCCAACCTCTTTCAACAGCCGGGGCATCGCTGCTCGGTAGTCCATATGACCGTTCACAAGCTTGGTGACGTCGAAGTTCTCGAGGCCGGGGATCCCTTCCACTGGAGCGAGACCAGCCACACGCATAATTCCACCGCTGGTTGCACGAAAGAGATAGCCCAGGATCCAATCATTGGAGGAATACCCATTCACAAAGCGGCCAGATACCACACTACGAGCCTTCAAATATTCATCTTTGTTAGCCACAATAGGCGACCCGAATAGATAGACGTTCTGCACGAGCCCGTGGGCACCTCGATCTGCAAGCTCTTTTAGACAAGAAAAAATAAGCCGAGAGCCGAGAGAAAAGCCCAGGAGAGTGACAGGCCGCTTCCCAAGGTTGCGCTCCATCAAAGAATCAGCCAAAATCAGCCCAGCTGCGTTCGCGCGAGCCAATGAAACGATCCATGGGTTATCAATCAAGTACGAGAGTTTCGTAAGAACAAGTGGCAACTGCAGAGACGACATTAGAGCTACTAGAACAGTGCTTCCAAGGACTTGTTGCAACCCTTGAGTTAATGCCTAGGGAACAGTTAGCAACTCCCCAGCGATAGTTGTACAAGATAAACACGCCCTGACACCTACCTCTGTAGCAAGAATGTTGATGGTATCTCCCATGCTCCGAAGCATTTCAGGCTCCCAGAGAACCGAATATAGATCTCCCATTATAGGATCCACCGTACTGAAGGGCAATCGGACGTCATCCACCTTACCAGTCATCCAACCGGACACGGTGACAATCAGGTTGACTCTTTTGTTGTTGTGCAGGGGACGGTACTCGAAAGTCTGGACGGCTCCAGTACGTCTGTTGGAAGCCCTCAACCCAATCGTTCCTCCGGTCAGGGTGCCTCCAGAAGCAATAATCGCCGTGCCACCCACCCCTCCCAGGAATGCACCGGTTCCTGAGATTCCTACTGTGGTAAACCCAGCTGCAAGGCCAGCACCAATCACTGGGGCCAACAACCCAGCGGAGAGACCAATTACCAGCCCACCACCAACAGTGGCCAAGCCCATAACAATGTATTTCCGTTTCAAAGCCATCTTTCGGCGTTTTTCCATGTGATCTGACTCATCCCAGGTTTCTTTGGCCGCCTCTTCCTGCATTTCCAGAGCATCAACCACGCGCTTTTCGAACCGGGCAATCTGTAGCCAGGACACTTCCATGGACTCGCCTACTTTTTCAAGTAAGGACCGAGACCGCGCATCATAAGCCGAATCTGCAATGAGGACAAGGAAGAGATCACAAAGCACCGTCCACCGAAGATCTATATCAATCTTTGTCGAGGTAGGAAGCTGGGAGGGGGTTCGAACTTCGGGAAGATCTTCGCCTTCGTGTGTCTCATAAGGTGGAGGAGACGTTGACCTGTCAAAATCAGAGGATAGGCTACCTCGATATTCGTCCTTCAAGCTCGGCGTCGCGGGGGATGATAGGGAGTTCTTCGGCGTGTCGACTTCGTCAGCTAAAGGATTCTTGACTCGAGCATTCTGCATGAGAGGCCGGACAAGATCTGCAGGTTGGACACCATGTTCCGCCAATTGTTCAATCATCACCTGCTCAGCGGCATCGATATCCATATGTGCATAAACCCTAGCCATAATTGTTTGGCCCCATTTACGCATCGAGTCAATGGTCTTTTGTCTCGCCTTGCGTGTACCCTTAGTTGAGGGAACCCGGTCCAGGTCTCTAGTCATCTGGAATATAGCCAATCTGGTAACCCCGACGTATGCTATCCTTTGACTCTCGGTCAGCAGATCCTTGGTGGCCTGCAATTGACTGACAGCGTCGCGCAGCTCTTCTCCTTCTACACCAGCAGAGTTGTGAGCGGCATCTCTAAAAAGATAGCTTGTATCTTCATCTAGACTTGTCGCCGATTGAGCATCTTCATCAAGTTGCACTCGGGTATAGCCCTTCCCAGCGCCTCCCAAGCCCTGGTACACTGCGTCATTATCCTCTGGTTTGGCACCACGAGCAACCAGCCTCCCAAAGTCGTCGTAAACATCGAACTCGTCAATAGCAGGCATATCTTGCCACCCACCATCACTTACTGCTTCATCCTCGTCCTCTGAGTCCTTAGACTCATTAAGCCGCTGATGTGACCATTCCGATGCTTTCAGGCTCGACCGTTTGTTTTTCATGGCATCCGACTGTGTAGAAGCAGAGGGGTTCTCTGCATTTGGCTTCTCTGTGTAAGGAGGTGGTGGGGGACAATCCTCCTGGTCAGGGAGGGGGCCACTAGCAGCGGCATGTTTCTCATTGCCCACAGGCACGCTTGAATCATTCTCTCGGGGAAGCTCAACAGAATGTGGTTCCACTGCCGGTAAGGTTTGTGTCCTTTTCTGTTCGTCTTTGCCCTTGTCGACTGATTTTGTGCTGTCTTCCTGAGGTGCTTCTGGCTTCGATTCGTTTGTTACGGGCTTGCTCTCTTGTGAAGCTGGTTGATTATTACCCGTGCCCGAGACAGCCTCTTCAACATCATGAAATTCTTCTTCATTATCCGACGTTTCAGCCGAGCGTACAGGCCTAGCGCGAACACGAATGGGCAGCCCAAACTCATCTACCTCTCCCGTTGTCGATTCTGCAGTCGGCTCACTCCCCGCATTGCCTCCGACCGGACTAGCACTTTCCTTCTGGGGTTCGATATCGGGGGTTCCTGTACTGTTTTCTGCGGCCGTGGTCTGGGGATGCTCCGGTTCGTGCGAAACAGCTTGGGAATGATCGACAGCGGGGTCGCGAGAGTGGTCAAGAGTCGCACTGGAGGTCATACTTCATCGGTATTCCTAGGTTGAAATCGGCTTCAATCACCCAAATCCTTTCATTTACCCTTTAAACCACCGTGAAGATTCCCGCATAGACCACGCATAAGATCACCCATGCGCGCGAACGCACCGCCACGAATTTCCTAAGCTGCAATGTACTCGCACTTTCCGAGCACGGATTGTGACGAGCTCAGACCGTAGGGGAGCTCAGTCGTACGCTGACCGTTCACAATATCGTTCGGGAAAAAAAAAAAAATAGTACAGACGGTCGGTATAGATTCAGGGGAACGGAATTCCTCGTATGACGGTGGGGGGGGTGGTTCACCGATAGGCAACAGGAAGGAAGACAGGAGTTAAGAGGTCGTGTGGAAAAGTCGATGGGGTTTGTGGGGAGGGCAGCGACCTCTGTTTTTCTTCTTTTCTTTTCTATCGAAATGTTTATCGTGGACAGCAACGATTCCGGTCTTGGCTGGGTAACAAGCCTCTCTGCGATCGGGGAGTGTGGTGCAATCGTCCCGAAAGCGGCAATGGAGTGGAATGAACCCGTGGTTTGCGGAAGAGAACCTTAAGGAACATGGTCAGTGAGGGCCTGTCACGTCAGTGGCTCTTTAGTGTGTCTCAGTGGGTTTTTATGGGTATTTTTAAACAATCGGCCCCCCCCAAATTGTTGTCAGCATTTGATCTTCTTTATATGTCATAAGAGAACCCTTTCAATCTGATACATGATCGATTACCATTTTGAATTAGGTTACATCCGATCAGATCGTGGTCTTTTTACTAGTCTATCGGCAATACTGAATGCGTTACCAATTGATACAGGTTTGGGACAGGTCGATTAGCTAATCCAGCGGAGTTGATTTCCTTGACTTACTTGCTTGTATATCAACTCCGTCGAAGGGTCAATGATATTAAATGTGAACTAAAGCGAGTGGTGCCAGACCATAAGTCGATACATGTGCTCAACCATTTGAATCCCTATTTGAACCCTACGATCAAATTTGGAGATCACTCCAGCCATGGAACGAACGAGACTCTGGTTTTTTTTTTATTTTTCAAGGTCAATTCTTCAATTCAAGAGTATTTCTCTTTTTTTCTTTTCTAGATTGAATCCCCTTTTCTCCTCACTTCACTTCCTATTCCTATATACCAATAATATCTGAGGCATTGTTTTTCGTACGAACTGGACATATAGCATTATCTGTAGCTTAAAGAAGGATTGTTAATCCGATAGTAATCACCAGAGACTTTTTTCAAGATGACTGATATTCAAGAGGTTATTCCTAGGCTAACCATCAAGCAAAAGTTCGTTCATTATCTTTTGTTTCAGCCTTTTCGCCCCAAAAACACCAAACATCGCCTAGTCCTTTGATTCGAGTCCCTCCTCGTCCGGCCCTCTGGCCCGTTTGTGTGCACGGGAATCCAGATCTTCAAGTCTTCGTTTTCTCAGCTTCGTATGTTGTTTGCCTCTGCGGGGACCTTGTCTTCCATGGCTAGACCAGAGTTCGGAGAGGGGGGCTGGTGCGCGAATGAATATTCTTGCGACTTTCTTTTGCTGAATTTCGACCCATGTATTGTAAGCCATGTCGTTCAGAGTTAAGACCACTTTCTTTGCGTTAGTCGGATGTATGATTTCTTCAATATCACCGCACATGATGATAACCCGAAGTCGAGTACCAGCTATGAGCTGTTGAGAAGCATCACGTAAAATATTGCGCTTAGAGGTAGAGAAAGACTGCACTTGATAGCTCTCTGACATGTAAGTGTATCTTTGAAGGTCAAATGGCCAAATCAATGAGTTTGAAGCCCGAAAGCCACCCTCCCGTAGGCCCCACGGTATGCTAATGGCCTGACCACTCTTATCATAGTTATGTAGCGGGGTAGGCTCGAAGGCAATACCTATGGAAGCCTCAGAGCTTCCGATCGGACTGATCATGTCAACTCCAGCTCCAATTGTCGAGTCATTCTGTTGTAGCTTGGCTATTGTTGACCGGAACCAGGATTGGGGATCTATTATATGCACTTGCAAGGGCCCCCAGATATGCTCACTAGCTTGAATTAAGGGAGCTTCCTCGAGACTCGAACTAGTACTAATGGCCTAGCAAAGAGCGCTGTAGTAACCCTCTTTATCCATGCATCTTCTCACAGGCAATTCTCCAGAGTTTAATGTCCGGCGAAGCTGATGATTTTCGCTATTGCGGTGAAGTGCCCATTCACGGATTTCGTGATCTGGTGAATCAGATAGAAGCTGCACGACCTTATGGCGAGAGAAAGGGCTTAGAAACCTTCCCTGAAGTAAAGGAGATATGACATCCAAACCAATTTCAAAATATTGACCCTCTGGGCAGGGTCCAAAGATCTCCTCTAGACTCGACACAGGAAGAGATTGAAAAGCTCGGCATATGACCATCTCCAAAAAGTTGTCAAGGACAAGCGTGATTATGGTATCAGTTCGCGGAGGAAAGGGGATGGTCCAAAGTCGAATAAACTTTGTATGTCTTGAGCACTCTCCGTCGTTGTTGATGATGTAATAATGCAGAGAGCGCCTCGATCCTGCTAATGTTTCCCTGATATGCTGCGGAATTCGGAGTTTGGGCTTATTGGACTGACCAACGTAGTTGCGTAGATATGTTGGCAGGAGCGCCTGCGTAACGAAGTCCAGGTAACCTCTGTGGGGTACTTCCCAGGTTGATGGGTTCGAGGCTTGCTTGTGGCGGATTGCATGTAACCTATTCGATATGATTAACAGTGGAATAATATGATAGGGAGAGGACGATGGCAAAGAAAGGATTATTACTAACACTTCGACAGTGATTACTTGATCTTTCAAATGCCCGAATATCTGGGTCAACTGTGTTATGGACCAAATTAGCGAACGCCTCTGTCCCTCCCATAGCTGTTATCACAGATTGATAAATTCCCCGCTCAAAGTCCAGTTGCAGTTTCTTTTCAGAGAAAATAAAATCAATCAGTTGACGCATAACACATAGTAAATCTGGGAACTGAATCTAGAGACCATATACATTATTCATAGTCAAAGTCATAATATCAGCCAAGTATCATGATTCATACCTGGCTACTCTGTTGTATATTAGACTTTAAAGGCAGATGAGCCACATCAGTAGCAATGATATTCGTCTAAGTCTCGCCACAGCACCCACAATATGGATAAGAACCGCAAAATCCATCACAGGTCCCACTGCCTGGGCAGAAGCAGGACTTACAGTTCCGGCAAAGTGGGTTGCAAAGGTGTCTCTTTGTCATCAACTGATAACATTCGAGGCATGGCTGTCTCACTTCTGCTGAATCCTGGTCCTGGTTCTTGAAATAACGAGGTGGCTGTCTTGGAGTTGAAAATGTCGAGCGATAGGGTATCTTTGAGACCACAAGCTAGCACGCGATCACAGACAGTGATGGTTGGTGTTATGAAAGGCTTCGCAATAGCGAACGAGAGAAGAGAGGCAGGGAATAAATAGGATAGAGTGTATATAAATAGTAAGACAGAGAGTAAGGAGAAGAACAAGAGAGCTGGAGAGAAAAGAGACAGAGAGCGTGTCTGTTACAGAAACAGAGACAACACAAATCCTAGAGAACTTTTGTTCTCCCGTCTTACCATATATAAAGTCAGTCTCCTTAAATATCCTTCTGGGTATTACCTCTTCTGCCATATATTTAATCAATATAATAGATATCTAAAGACTCTTTATTTATAAATTTAATAGGAATTCAGGAATTTTACCTTTTTATCAAAGAACTTATATCCTTTATTCTTTTACAAATATTTTTGACATGGCTATATCACAAGTCTAGTCTTGTCTTTATAGACTGTGATAGATCTGGGCATCAGTATAGTTTATTTTATTTTCTCTATCTTACTCTATTATTGACCTTTTATCTGATTTTTAATTAGTCCTCGATTCAATTTTCTCGCGATATTAAACTATATATATGGAGGATTTATCTCTTTTTCCAGGGATAGGACTCTCTTCTTTAATTATCTTTTAACTTAGATTGCAATACTATATATAATAGTGGCTGTGTTTATTAACTTAAGTCTATCGACTATTTTAACTTTTATTGCTAGGAAATAATGTTTACTATTGTCAGAGAAATATCTACTATTCAGGGTAGAAGACGTGTCAACTAGGTAAGGGTACGCAGGCAGAAAGCTAGGCAGTAGATACTATGCAGACAGCAGACTGATTCTTGCCTTTCTCCATTATCAACATCAGGCTAACTTTATAGCCAGAAGGACCCCCTTCTTTCCCTAACAAAATAAGACTGACAGGGGACTATTGTACACTATTGAAAAGGCAACGGATATAGACTCCGACGTCGCCGTTCGGCCACCGAGTTGTCTATGCACAGCGGGCAGGGTATACGATACAGTCATCATGCAGAGTCATCATCGGATCTGTGACAATAGATCTATATCATGATATTTTAAGCTAGTGTATACTTCATATCTACATGGAACCTACCCTTACATCAAGAACAGAGGGTGAGAGAGATGCTATTTTATTGGCTAATGTAGAGCGTAAATAGCCGCCCGTCAACCATGGATACGCCTCTATAGCTCAGTGGTAGAGCGCTTGACTTGTACCTAAATAGATATCAAGAGGTCCGTGGTTCAATCCCGCGTGGAGGCACTATTTTTTTCCCCCCTTACCTTAAACTACAAATTGAATTACCTTTGCAGGAAGGAGGTCCTAGAGTTGATGATACGGTGCGGACGTATATTTCATGTAAGGCACAGGAAAATAAATTAAATGGTAGGACTACAGTACTAGACTTAAAGAGACCGCTTCTGTTTATGATATCGGGTCGAGCCTTGGCTGTCTGAGGTAGTAAAGATTTTTACTCTGTATTATTTATAATGAAATATGTTACCGTCACTCGGTTGTTCTGCCAGAACATCTCGTTCCGCCTGGGGGTGGTTCTTTCGATATTTATACCGAAAATTTAGTCTTTTTTATAATTATAATTGTAAATTGTTTCTAACTCTCTACAGAAAGAGAATTTTTGTCTTGTATAAAGAGGACGAAAAAAAGAAGTGCCTCCACGCGGGATTGAACCACGGACCTCTTGATATCTATTTAGGTACAAGTCAAGCGCTCTACCACTGAGCTATAGAGGCGTATGTGTACGAGAACTTATTTATCCATGAGTCTAGACAGGTCTAAAGAAATAGTGGATCTACAGTGCCGGCAGTGTATCTTGAAACATGTCAAAATTCTTTCTTGTGTGTCTTAAAGAATCTATTATGGAGGATATATAGTTTTAGAGCCGTTAGGTAAATACAATATTGCCACAATAGATTTACAAAACCTCCGCTGCTAGATCCATGGTGTAATAACTTTCCATGGCATATATTTTCAAAGGGAATTGTTATTTGGACCTCACGTTAAGCCTATATAGGAAGGCATAATACTATATACTGGTATTACTACTAGTTAAGCGGGACTAGTCTAGAACAGGAATGTTGAACACACCTCAGGGCTCGAGAGGGTGATTCTATACACAGTAAAAAGATAGCTGATTCGATAACTTGAATAGGCTAGTATAGGCAACACTTAGATAGGGGCCTGAAGAGTGCCTATAAAACTGAGTGATTTTAGATTTAACCTCACCTACCTACTTATAATCCCTAGGGGGTCACCGTTTATTAAGTCAGACGATTCGCTTAACTTTCCTTATACAAATCCAAGGCGATATCCTGAAATATGAATATTTGACACAAAAAGAATGGATCTTCATAGTCCATATAGCAAAGAAGATAACGAAAATATACACAAAGCAAAATAACAAAACTGAGCAACCCCACCCTTCCTCAATCAATCCCATAAAACACCATATCATCTAATGGATACCAGAAGGGCCCGTCATTCTCTCCACCCTGAACAGAACCACATCAGCACCATTATCCCACGACGGTTAAAACGCCCCAGTCACGGTGGAGAATCACTCACATTCTAGAAGAATGGCCTCCCTCCACCGACGTCTTCGCCGTACCACCCTTATCTAGATCCTGTTGAGCGTTCCGGCTCTGGTCGGTCTGTACGCCGGCCACCGGTTCGGCATGCGGATTCGAGAGGTCTTCTCTGGCGTTGTCGGCTCGTGATCTGGCTTGTTCCATCAGAGTTCCTAGTTACAAGGTTCATGAGTTAGTTATCGTTGTTCCATTTGGTAGGAGTTGTATCGGAGGTTATCGGGGTACTCACGGGCCGAGGGCTCTTTGTGAGATAGATCGGGAAGGCCTGACATACTAAATGTTTGATGCGTAGTTACCGTAGACTTGTGACGGTCTGTTAGTATAGTAGCTGCTTACTATGAAAATAATCTAACTGTCTGGACGGGTTTTTGTATGCCTGTCGAGTGTTAGGGTTGAGGTTTACGAACTTCTACGTCATAAGATGCTCATCAGCCTGCCCTTATTGGAAGTTAAAGATGAGGAACATGGAAGCTTTTTCAATTAGTGTATCGTAACATATCGCTCCAACTGTTCCAGACATAGATTAAGGTGAGTACAAAAGTAGTTGTTTTGTACGTATTAAGATAATCTGTAATTTCTTTCAACCTCCTCCCCGAGAGCGGAGACCCAATCATCGATGGACTACTTAGGGTTTACAAGGCTATCTGCCGATGAAATGCCGAATTCGATCGTGTTTATTAGTCAAATTTTAACTTCTCCCGGATCTAAGAAACTCTAAGTTTACAGAATATGTATATTTTAGTTACTGAAATCAGAGTATATCTCCAGAACCAAATCGAGAGTCGGACAATGTTGTAGAAGTCGGAAGAGATGGGCGTAAGAGTGATGTACGTTATTTACCCACAGGTTGGAACGATGAACTTTTTGTAATCAATCATTGAAAATCCACTAAACGACGGTGAATACTACGACCGTAAGTAACCTTAGGGCTTTTAAGTACTCGCAAGGCCAGTCCAATAGAAAGTTGAAGAGATGCCTGCAGCCTTCTGGTAATTCTCCCGGAGTGACCTCCGTATTTAGCCAGGCAATTTAGCCGTCCAAAACTTCCGCAGATGCTCTGGAAACATTCCTAAAATGGAAACATCCCCACGATCGTCGGATTTTCCGTGTCGACCGAGCCCCCGAGAATGGGAACGTCGAAATACGGCCCCAAATACGCGTTGCTACGAACTAAACCGTTGGGGGCCTTCCTCCGAAGTTTTCCCACGGGTTTCACCTGGTGATTTCATTTCATTTCATTTCCACCCCTCCTTTCTTCCTGTGTCCTCTGAGAATTTCTATCTAACCTTGGGATTCAGCCTCCTTCAGCGGTGTTGGTCATTGTCCGGAATGACCTATTCCACGATGTGCAGAAAAAAGCGACTATGAACACTGAACGCTTGGGAACTCGGAAAACCCCCATGGCGCCTTCCTGGGAAAAATGTACACCAAACAAACTCCTTCCAAATCATCCTAACTGATTTTTGGACCCGTCTACATCCCCGGCAATGGGGGCATCCCGCAGATACTTCCATCGGGAAGCCAGCCATCAAGCTCCATTCCTGTTCGAGGAGGAACGGGTGGTTGGCTTTGATGTGCGGGGTCCATCGCAACACCTTGCTGCGAATATTCTCCGTATGGATACTGGGTTGGTATCACAGGCGATTGGTAGCCGGCATATTGATTCATGAGAAACACTTGTTGATTAGCTTGATCAGCCGGCCAGATCGAGTTTGTAGCCGCTGATGCTCCATAAACCCCATCCATAGGGTGCATAACTGCGATCTGCGGCACTTCGGCATTCATTGCAAGGGTTCCTACTGGCTGCGATGAATCGGCCGAGCTGAACCGTGCGGTTTGCATAGGTGCCGGGCTCGCAGAGCGCTGTGGACTCCCACTCGGCGGCGGAGCGAGGCCGATTTCAGTCTGCATCTGTCGCTGCTGAAACCGGTCGTACCAGTTTCGAGCCTTCACCCCGACAATATATAGCCACCGGCTTGGGACCTTATACTTCATATTTCCGCTTGCCTCGGTTAGTCTTCTCGTCATGGCCTCTAAGTACATCTCAATGTTGATGGACTGAGGGCTCACGAATTCGCCCAGGGCTCCAGACTTGACCGAGAAGTAAACCTTCAGGAGGGACATAACTGCTACACCGACTCGTGTGTAAATGAGATTGGGAAGTTTCCGCATCAGGTCCGTGTCACAACTTAGGAAGAAGTCGAGCATCTCTTGAGCTGCATTCATCCATTTGATCGTGATGTCTACGCGAATTGCACTCAAAGTGGTTTTTGACTGCTGGTTGCCATCCTCCGGTGCTGGGAGTGCATAATATTGTTGCTTAATCGCATCGGGGTCTCGATAACCTTCGCCGACACCCAGCTCGTAAATAGCGAGGTTGGTAAAATGGTATTCGAAAGTCATGGTCACTAAGAAGGAAGAATTTAGTCAGCCTTTGCCCCGCTACTATTCCGATCTTCGAGATACCGAGGAAAATTACCGGTGAGCATGTCCGCAGAAACGTTCTTTTTCCAATTTTGCATTTGGTTGTCGAACCACCTCAGTATGACCTGGACTCGCGATTCTGTCAGCGGGGTGGTTGAGCTGGTGTCATCAAGACCGAAGGAAGCCATAGCTTGGTCAACGATCTTCTGCAATTCGAACCAGGTAGCCATATGACGATCTATCATATTGGGTGAGCGCTCCAAATGTTTTACACATTCGTGCATCCAGTCGTTGAAGAGAAGCAAATTGGGCCGGCGAGTTTTCATGGCAACGCTGTGTCATGTTAGCAGCTGCCCTCCACGAATGTGTTCCTCGTCCTTACTTGGAAGCCAAATGATAACACCCCAGAATTGCTCTGGCCTGTTCCGCCATGTGTTCATCATACGCACCACGCTTGCTCGCTTTGCGACTTGCATTATTCGGTACCTTACGTTTTGAGGCCAACCCGATCTCCAGGGCCATGGTGGCGGCGATGTGAGTATACTGATAATTTTGCAGTTTCAACGGAGATTCTGGCGGGTAGTAAAAGACGATCATCAGGAGCAATGCCTGAACCAACTCGAACGACTTATCCCCATTGATGAAAAACCGTTCTGCGTAGAGCCGGACCAATTCGCGGTTGAGCACGACAGCCAAACTATCATCTACAGCAATCGCAGCGGCGGCAATCACGGAGAGAAAAAGCATGGGCTTCGAGCGACGCAGTTGTGAGGCTGTGGTATTTGGAGGGAGCAAAACCATGGGGGCAAAAGCGGTTAGCTCTGTGATATAAAAGGACACCAACTCATTGGCAAATTCTAGGGAGATTAACCCCCGATCGATAATGTCGCCGCATGAGGGTTCTTCAAGGCCATAACAGGGCGGGATAGGCGTGGCAGACGCGAATGCATCAGAACCACTGTTTAGGGTATTCGGGTACGAAGAAGATGCTGGAACGCGGGGCGAGAACTCCATGTTTCTGAAGGATCCCGAGGCACTGCTCGGGGCATCCGGTACAGTGGATAAGGTTTCTTGGGGATCAGCCCCGAAGTCAGGTTCCTCTGAGTCCTCGACTTCGCTGCCAGAGCTTTCCGAGCTACTTTCTTCATCGATCCGGAAGCGATCCTTGAGAAGGGAACGCATCTGTCGCATCTCCCTCTCCAACTGAGCCACCCGCGAATCGGTTCGCTTGCGTGGTCGTCTTCGTTGGGGTGCCACGAATACGCAAGTTCTCTTGGCCTTAGCACATCGTTGACACTGATTAGGAGATTTGGGGTCAGGAAGGCAGCGGACCTTCAGACCTCGACACGATTCACAGGATCGGTTTAATTGCTGGGTGGGGGCCGGTTGTTGTTGTTGGAGTATACCCGGTTCACCAGGCGTTGAGGGAGTAGCCGACATGGTCTGCCGGCTTTTGCTGATTCGTGAGCTAGCGTAGAAAAGGGATTCCCGAAGTGTTATTGATGGAAGCGCAGCGAAAGATCTGAGAAAGTCGGTGACGATAACTGACAGAAACCGCTGAAGCTGCTAACGTTATAAAACCCCATCTCTTCAATATGACCAGGGATAGTACATGACGATGGGGCAGTCAGGGTTATTGGAGAAGCGATGATAGCGGCAACCTGGCCGTCACAGTCCAAACCACGCGATGGAGCAGTGGCTCCATCTAACGGCCTAGGAGTTGTATTTCCGCACCCCAAAAAGGGGAACGCCGAGTAAGCTGCAGAACGACTAAATCCAACACGTTTTCTCACCCGTTCGTGCATCCAAGCCGTACAGACACGCCGGCAAGCTTCCAATTGGGGATCCCAGTGGCACCGATCCCTTGCGCTGCAGAAGTCGTCACCCATGCTAAAGAAGGATTCAGTGTTGACATGGATTGCACGCGAAGTCGTAGTGGGCCTTGAACAAGCCCCAATCATGTGATCTTTTAGCCACTAAGTGGGATCGAAATCTTTTTTTTTTCTATTAAAGTTTCCGCTGGGTCACACACACGAGAAGATAAATAAGAACAATAACGGTTTTATTTTAAAACTGGGGCCGTTTTATGCAGTACGTAGAAAGAAGAAACTAGTAGACAAGACAGCGTTGCAGCAATTGCTTGGTCTACATTCTATGTAATGGCGATATCTCTTCTGTTTTCTGTTCTCTGCACATTGTCCTCCGTTCCCCATGATCAGACCCTGAAAAAGAGCAAAGAGAAAAAAAGATAAAAAA